TGATCGGTCGTGTGCGCACGTGCGTACTCGTACCAAGAAATTTACCCATACTGGCTAAGAACCTCAGGGCATCTGTCATCAAGGGAATTTCGCTTTTTTAAATCTTTTGGACATAATAATAGGTGTTTGTTACCGGAAGAATGTTTACATTTTACAGAGAGATTAGACCATCACTACAATCACACAAGCAGGGCACTTGTACTGTTTACACGTGACTTCTTTCAGATGTGTAGGCCTTCCAGTCCAGGTAGGCATTTACTACCACATTGTTCAGCACATACCAAAACAGTTGCCGTGCCGCTTTTTGACGGGCGCCCAAATTCGTAGGAGGACCTTAGCTCGTCTCGTTCGCCATGCCGATTGCCTTGTAGTAGCGATTATACAAGTCCACCATCGCTGGACACTGCTCCTTTAGACGGGCAGCACTTCGTCCACGACCTTTCGATCGCCTGGTAATTTGTACATCGGGAGCACCGACGCTTGTAACCGTCGATAAGAGGATTTTTCTGAGAACATTATGGAGGGGACTTAACAGCACCAGAAACCCCCATAACCAGACTGGGACAAGTAGTTGATTCCGAATAACCAAAAACTAATGACCCAAAACTGATGGTCTAACATTTTACAGGGATGCATTTCTCAGTCTACCCATGGCTTATAAGAAGCCTGGGCAGTCAAAGTCACATAATACGTTGAGAAACAGTGTTATTAACAATTGTTATGCTCTGTTCCAGACCCATCATGAGGGTTTTCGGTGACATCTCGATTCTATGTGTGCTTCTCCTTCCAGCTATCTGCTCAGGCAAGTTTAATACACTCTATACCTCTCTTATATCAATAGAGAAAACGGAGAAATAACAGTATTGTTTCTGTTGTTAAAAACGTTCAGTGTCGTCCCTAAGGGTCTAACATGGTAGGGACTCTAAAAAAATAAAACAATAGGCACAATTGATGGTTTTTTACCTGTTAAGTTGCTTAATTTTTCATTCTATAGGAACTAGAAGAATGTATGCCGATGAATGCCAATATTTCAACATGAAACAACTGTAAATTATCTTATCGGCAACTGTTGACATCATGCATTACCGTTAGCGAAATTCTCCCCGCAAAAAAATCGCATTTTTAAAACTGTTTGTTGCAAAAGGTAGTCCTGTTTGTTCTTAAACAACAGCCAATAGGTTTGAAAATAGAGTTTAGAGAACATACACCTTCAGCAAATGATATAGCTTATACACTAAAAAGAGAAAAAAACAACAGCCTACTATATATGTCTATCCTTTTGATTCCAGACAAGCACCAAAATGACTCCAGGATCGACAGCATTGCGTCAATTAAGAAAAAAAAAAAGGTTTAAGCGATTGAGAAGAACCAGTAAATAGAACAAGCATGATAATGGTAATTGTTTGCTTAAAAACCCTTGGCCTTGAAATATTGATATGTCATAATTGCCCTCCGCAAACAGCAGCTGCTGCGGTGGACGAGCAACAAGTTGTCGAGAGGGCGGAGGATCTCCTGTCTAATCTCCAGAAACTCGCAGGTAGTTATTATTAAAGTCATTTTATGGATCCAATATGGAAGCATCATTAATGAATTACTCTTGTTTAAAGTTATATTTAAAAGAGCTGAAATAACTTATGTATTTCTAATGTAGTTTAAATTATGTTTTATTCTTTTTATTATGTTGGCATTGAAAGAAACGTTTACAATAGCCAACACTGTGGAACAAAGATGCTTTTAACCATTGGGTAGCAGTTAATCTAGATACCCTTACTGTTGCAGATGAGAAGGAAAATGATGCCGTCCCCGAGATGGATGAGGAAGGATTTATCAAGAAGGAAGGTTGTGAAGACCATGAGGTAATGTGATACATGTGTCAGACAATGTGCGAGATATATTGTAAAATGTCTGCTTAATTTCGAGTCTGCCCAATCTTTTATCATTCTGTGTTTTTTTGGTTGCGATCAGCATTCGGGTAAATAAACACTTTATCATAAAATTTATACTCTTCAAAAGTCTTCATTTTTGGCACAAACTACAATTCACAATTCTACAATTTAATGCATAAATTTATATCATGTCAAAATATTGAGTAGCCAATTTGTTGCCATCCTGCTGATTTCAATCTTAGCAACAGTCTTTGTATCTTGTTTAGGTAGTATCTTCTGTTTGAAACTTTGAAACCTTTTTACAATATAGCAGACAAAAGTCTGAATTGCGTCAGTATTTACACACCATTGAGCTCGTTTTATAATAAACAAAATATGGGTGTTTACAGTTTAGATATATCCTCATCAGTAATTTTTTTTAATTTCTATATACAGCAAATTGACATCTCCTAATGATTGAAATGTTAATTACCTACTAAAAACTCGTAGTTTAACATAGATGGATAACAATATAAGTGCAGGGTAAACATCAGATATGAAGATTCGAAATTCAGAAAGTTTGTTTACAGTTCAGAATTTACTGTCCCTTGTTGAGAAGGTTTACAGGGTATGGAATGGGAGAGTTTTTCAGTCTGTTTGCCCGACAGAGAGGTGTGTTCAGTTTCTGCTTGTTGCGAGTGTTTCGACCAGATATTTCACTCTCGACCTCGGGAGCCAGTCTCTGAAAGTAAACTCCATCAGCAACCGCGCAAACTTCAGGCACAACTGCTCCCTTCTGTCCACCAGTGATGTCAGTCCAAGGTGCTGAAGGGCGTTCGCACAACCGGTGTAGTCGTTACCAAGCACGATCCTGCAGGCGCGTTTTTGGACGCGTTCAAGCTTCACTATTTGAGATTTAGTGAGGCCAGGTGACTATACCGGGACCCTCTTTTTGTAGTATGGGTCTAATATATCCAGTGTATTTCGATGGAGGTTAGACATCCAAGTAATACGATACGCCAAAAATCAGTTACTCAAGCAACTGGATATGATCCAAAAGCATATCCAGTTGCTTGAGTAACTGCTTTTTGGTGTATGTCCAGTGCAGATTGAAATCAGGTATTTATGGGATAAGTTGCATCGAAAGTCTTTTAACCCTAAACAGTACACCTGGGGTCCGCGCGGACCCCAGCACTATATATGCTGTAATGTTTTTTTTTGTTTTTTAAAAATTTTTTTCTGAAATTTCAGGTAATTGTTACCCACAAAGTTGTCCCTCAATATAGTGCAGAAAACCCAGTTTCCCCTATTCTTAAAATTTTTATATCTGATTTTCTTTTGGGGTCCGCGCGGACCCCAGCCGACTTTCGATAGTAATGGACACACTGGCGTTCTAAAACATGACTTTATTTCTGTTTTAATATGTTTTTATGTACTTATCGTATGGCCACCAAATTTTCAATGGTGTACTAAAAGAATCAAATTCTAACAACGTTGGTGTAATTATGACGTCATATGACGTCAGAGGTAATAATATGGTACGCCATCTTGGATTTTGACCAATGACGTCATCAAGTTAGCATATATTATGAATATTTAATGATTTAACTTATCTCCAATTATGTAAGATGTTATTAATGTCAGAAAGGAAGTGTTATTTAATATAAAACCCAGAAAGTTTTAATGTTTAAACAAAAATTACTGATTTTTCCAATAAAACTGCCTGTTAGAAACCCGTTGCCATGGCAACACAAAAATCATCAACTTATTTAACCAATATGATTTTTTTTCCAAATACATTTTAGGACAGCTCACCAAATTTGATGGTTCTAGCTTAAGCCGTTCAGGCGCTATTTGAGATTAAAGTTGGTGCGGGCCTCAAAAGACCACTCGGTCTGAATAGGGTTTAAAAATCGGGTTTTTCCTCTTTTTGTCTTTTCTTCGTAAAAAAATAGAAAAAGGTGAAAATGTATGATTTTTTTACGTAATGTGGACTCAGAGGTTCACACATCAATTTGAAAAACAATTTAGCTGGTAGCATGTTGATAATTTTTAGAAATTAGCAAAAAACTGCTCTGGGGTCCGCGCGGACCCCAGGTGTACAGATTAATCAGTCCGGGAAGGTGTTCTGTTTAGGGTGTGAAAGAGAAAAAAAATTTCTTTGAGGCTCTTCCTACCATCTGCTTGACTTGGGAGTCCGAGTACAGGTTATTCTGAATTTGCAGACCGAGGATTCTCAGACATTCAGCGGTGGGTTGTTGATTTGCAAAGGTGGCAGAGCTGGTAGCTCTCTGCAGAAATTGATGTGCATGGCAAGACATTTCGACCCATTCAGGAGCATATGGTTACAGTTTGACCATTGGTATAACTGGTCTAAGTCTGACTGAAGTGTAGAAGGTTGCTGAAGTCGTCTTGTTTGTAGCATGTTCGTGTCGTCGACATATTTCCACACTGGAGTCACAGTGTCGGAGGCGATGTCATCTATGGGTACCAGGAATAAAATGGGACCCGGAAGAGTGCCCTGTGCAACTCCACATGACGCGTTGCTATATCCTTGAAATTAGCTAGCTATTGCTAACGGTTGGTTGTTTCAAAATTGATTTACTAATGCAGATTGCATTGGAATGCTGAAATAACAATTGTTCCTTACAGGAGGGAGACGAGTGGGGTACATCTGACCATGACAACTGTAACTGCCAAGGACCATATCGTTTTTGCTATCATGTTGACTGCCTTCCTGGTTCTGAGATCACCCGTGACTCCAAAGGTCTCTGGGACTGTCCAGGCGGTTTTTCAGGTAAGGTTGTGTAGCAATGGATATTGTCTCTTCTAGTCAAATCCAACTCATACTCCTAGCCTGGTCTTGTGAGAGACAATACAAGGAACGTGCCAAATTTCGAAGCATATTACACATTATTACATAATAGTAAGTTTTCCAGAAGGTATAGTAATGACACTTCCTATAGACAACCCTCCAGTCATTCATCGTATGTGCATAGATTAATTAGTTTAAGGAGTGGAATGTACAAACCCGTCTTGGATAAACCACACCGTGTCTAAGAAAGTAAAATTAGAAATTCAATCATGATCTGAAGCAATCTAAGCCATATCTACCTTTGTAAACCGAACCTCTTAATCCGTGCAATCATGGTCCAATTGGTTTGGACATAATACTATATTAAGTGATGAATGGATTGACAAAACTTTATTTGGGTATCAGTAGATTCTTCTTTAATTCTACGAAAATTCTTAGTGATGCTTTTTATGAGGTTGGAATAATAATTCTTCACGTTTTGGTTTGACTTCTCTCAAGTATGTACCATATACATGTAGCTTAGCCTTACATGTAAGTATATGAATTGCAACTAGTTTCCATATTAGGTGACGACAGTGTAGCTGAGAACAATGAGGAAGACGGGGACACGAGCATGATGGAGGAGAGCATTCTTCAGATACTGCAAGGTAACTTAAAGTTTCATTATTTTCTTAAGGTTATCCACATCTAGCAGACAGCTTCAAACATTAAATCTCGCGTGTAGGGGGTTTAAAATCACCTTAAAATTCTGTAAAATCCACTGCCTTTCCCTCTTTGGCTAATATCTCTTTCATCTTTACAGCCCTGCTCATAAAAATGTGTGCATGAAAACACAGTGGCCTCCATGGTTGCATTCAACAGATAAAACATTGACCAATAAATATGTTGCAAATTCAAATCCTCTTGGCCAAATTTGACCTATCGCTTGTACTAAGAGATTTCACCATACGGTTTGGATCTGCAAATGAGCCATTTGTAACTGTTTAGTATCACTAACTTTTAATATCATCATATTGCCCCAGATGCATTGCAGCTATTGTCAAAATGGTGAAAGATTAGTAGGCAATTACTCAAAGCAAACTAAATGAGAATCCCTAGTATGGCAGGGCTAATCTCCAAGTGTTGCCTTCCATTAATTGTTTAAATGGGAAAATCCACTGTTACCAATAAAGTAATCTAATTAGTATAAAGGTTTCTGTGTCTATAAAGGTACGATGTTAGTGATGATGCAGGCAACATGCTATTAAATCCAGAAGTTTTGCCATTTACCCCTTTGCAGTTTATGAAACGTATTTGTTTTTATTTCTTCCAAGCTTTCTGTCAGCTACATTTTAAGGAAGAATTGTGTTACTAGATTTAAATTAGGTTCCCCGTAAACTGGTGCAGTTATAATACGATGTATTTCTTTGTCACGGGAGAAGATGCTTCTGACCCTGAGGCAGCGGACGATACAGAAATCCCTGCTGTTGCAGACGGAGAAGCTCTCGACATTCGCGGGTTAGACGACGACGTTCTTGTCACAAAGGGAGGTTGTGAAGGCCACAAGGTAATGCACGTGATTAAAAATACTAAGGAAAATTGGCAAGCAGTGAATAGTAGGATTAAGGCATCAAAACTTAGACCTGTGTGCTGCTTTTGAAATATTATCTACATGCAGCATTACAATATGCTACATATAACCGTTTGCATTTGCTACATGTATAACCAAAACCATTATATTTGCTGCATGTATAACTATAAAGAAAATGTAAGCTTCATATCGTCATTGTTGGACAGAATTTACGTCAAATTATTTAATATTACAAAAAAAGCAACTTGGTGGTTACATGTTAATTTGTTACATTTATGGCGAACATTGTCTTAACAAGTAAGTTTTCTTTGCTAAAAGTGTAAAATTAAATGTTTTCTCACAGTCAGGAGAACAGTGGGGCTCATCTGACCACGACAACTGCATCTGTGGAGCATCAGGCCGCATCTGCTATCCTGTTGTCTGTCTTCCTGGTTCTCAAATTAAACCTGACTCCAACCGCCTCTGGACTTGTGAAGTTGATTCTTCCAACAGAGGCGTAACAGGTAACATTTTTCGGGATCTTGTTGTATCGCAAATGTATTTAACTTATTTTCTCAATGGTTGTGATACTGTGATGTGCGCACTCAGTCCAACTATCGATCTGCGCATGCTGTCATTTTCACTGAAGATAGGCTCGCAAGCTGTACAATTTCTTAAAATGAGTGTCATCCTAAAACATATTTTGTTGCTTGATAAATATAACATAAATTTTCTGGGTGACATCAAGTTTTCTCCCAATAGCAGCCTCTCTATGAATTCATCATGACAGTTCTCTTTCTATTGCATTTCAGGATCAGCTCAGGAGATGCTTAAAAGTGAAAAGGTGAGGAATCGAATACTGAAATGGCGAACTTTTTTTGACCTCTTCCTAAGAATCAATTCTTGTTGTTAAACTAGTTACGTGACGTGATGCTTATTTATTTCTAGCGGTTCGTTATAACAGCTGCGACGGCTGCGACAGCCTTTGGCGTGTTCACGGGCGTTGTTGGCTTAGTCGGGTTCGCGATGGACCGCTACGAGTCTGCACAAACGACCGCACAACTTAACGAAATACAGGCTCAGATCCGGGAGCTGGACAGGAAGATAGACGGCTTGACACAACGCGTCAGTGACCTACAACTGGGACAACAGTACCTTCAACAAGTCATCCTGTACGGCAGAGACGAACTACGACTGAGGAACGTGCTGGACACCCTTGCCAGTATCCAGGCCAGTGATGGCCAGTATGTTGGCAGCGACCTGCAAGGTTGGGCAGACAGCGTTCTCAGCCATGATTCAGATGGAATCAGAAATGTAGGTACACATTTTACAGATAAAAAGGAGCGGGATGCACGTGATAGGTATCCATGGTCCTGGACAAAGTTTGCTTTTTCTGTTAGTTACTGCAAGGTTGTCAAAGAACGTCATACTCCATGTCACATTGTAATTGATATCTAGATGTGTTGCACCGAAAGATACAATGGATTTGTCTAGAGACTACAGCTGAATTCCAAGCGTTTTAGATGTATAAATGTATGTACCAGATCATAGTTAAAGCTTCAATTTATGTTCATTAATGTCACACTTGCGCCTGTCTTTAGACATCTTTAACCCTACCTAGACGGGGGGGGGGGCTAAAAGTGCCCGCGGCAACTTTGATGTCACCTAGCGTCTGAACGGCTAGCCGTAGAACGGCTAAACTTGGTGACTTTTCCTAAAATATTGTTGGCAACAATTCTCTATCATTGGAATAAGATATTAATTTTTTGTGTTGCCATGGCAACGGGTTTCTGCTTCTGCATTTTTTGCTAAATTTAGTACTTTATGTTTCAACAATAGAATTTTATGGGTTTTATGTCAAGTTACTCATGATTTCTAATATAAATAACATCCTATATAATTTTATGTAAATTTTATCATAAAATATGCATAATTTATGCTAATTTGATGACGTCATTGGCCAAAAAACCAAGATGGCGGACCATATCATTAGAACAGGTATATACAGGTTATTTTCATTAAAATTTCATCAATACTTCCATTTCTTTTTCCAAAAAATGTTTAAATGAAGGTCTTTAGTATGTTTACAATGTATTTTAGGCTTTATCATGAAAAAAAAATATTTTTGAAAATTCAAGATTGATGATCCAAGATGGCGGATATCTTTAATATGCATGACGTCATTTTATGACGTCACCGGTGTTGCTATGGGCAATTTAAGACTTAGTACACCATAATATTCTGTCATAAACACTTTTGGTACAGTTATGTTGACTACCATTTAGTTTTCAGGGAAAAACCTATTTTGACGGTTTTGGCCAATAAAATCACAATAATGACGTCATAATGACGTCATATTACGTCATAACGACATAAAAATTGTAGATATGATAAATTTTCACTAGTACACCATTCTCTGAAAATGTGGTGGTCATACGACATACCGTTCGCGAGTTCTTATGGGGGGGTCAAAAGAGCCCCCCCCCGGTCCCCCCATGTCAAAAAAAGCCCGGTCTAGGTAGGGTTAAACGTATAATGTTAACATGACCTATGATCAATGGAACAGAAGGTTTAGAAATCAATATATGTATGTAAATTGGCGGGGCAATCCGCAGTGCAATAAACATGGAAACTCAGGCTTATCAGTAGCATGTTTGCTGTAACTCTTATCTTACTAACTCTTTTGTTAATTGTCTTGTACGTTTTCAGGTACTGTTCAATCTGTTGGACATGGTAAAACCACATTCATCACTGTTTGGAGGAAAATCTCTGTTCGAAATATATCGTCAACGACTGAATAAGAATACAGGAGCCTTGGAAAAGGATATGGTAAAGGTATGTATGTTTTTCCTTTTTCACTTGCTACTTTGATTTGATCTGTGAGTTGCAAATGTACAATTCAGAGACGTACTGTAAACGTGAAGTTATACATTCCGATATTTTCTTATCATTTATAAATAACTGGCGTAGTATTTCATCCTGCTAACAGTGAAAAGTCCAGGCCGTTTAAAGTACAAGTTTTGCTTTTATTATACTAAGTTATATAGCAACATGTGACAAACCTTGATGTGACATTCTACTCTGAAATTTTGAACCCACCCCTTATTGCCTCTTTGAGTTCACATAGAGTATAAACCATCTTATAATATACACCAGAAAGGGCAATTTCTCTCATACATATAGCCGATAGCTTGAAGAGAAATAACAATTGGCTTAAAGCGAATTACTAATTGGCTTTAAAGTTAAAATGTTTGTAAATTGGCATGTTTTGGACCTTCCTTGTACATAAATACTAGTAAATGCATGTTCATTTTCACGTGCAGATGCGACTGAAAGTTGCGCAGGTCTACGGACTGATCGGAAGTGGATACTCTGCCTGGGCTACAGCTCTGCGAATCAAGGGGCGTCAAGCTGATATTCCAGCTGTGGTACGAGAGGGGAAAGCAAAGCTCAACGACGTGAAACAAAGCCTTCAAAAATATGTCAATTATGGTAAGTTATCCAGTGACATTAGGCTTCTAACATAAATTCGAATCTCAAACTGGGATTCTTGTTAATGCTACAGAATAATTCCCATCAAACAGAATGCAATGATAATGTGTTTATCAATCTTTACCCGGATATCTCTCCATACAAAAATACATTGTGTTGTATTTATGGGTTCACCACACCACGAAGTGGTGGTGAACCCATATTGCTTTTTCTGGTGTTTCTTCTCCTCCTTCTTCTTCTTCTCCTGCCATTTTTTAAATGGATTCAGCTTCTTCATTTTAGGGCCTAAGGTCCTAAATTTGGTATGGAGGTACAGTGGGCAAATACCCCTAGGCGTTGTTTTAAATTATTGTGATACAGGCTTTTAGAATGGTTTTATTTGAGTTTTTTTGGCTGTGTTATAGCAAATGTATTACCGTGTTAGTGTGCCTTGTTTACCACGTTTGGGCATGAGTCATCACAATGGAATGCAGTGCATCAACCAATAGGCATGCAGCTTTCCTCTATTCTTCTTGCTGATTGGCTGTTGGGATTTAACTTGATCAACACCTGCACAGAGCATTTCCACCTGCACAGAGCATTTCTTGCTGATTGGCTGTTGGGATTTAACTTGATTAACACCTGCACAGAGCATTTCCATATTGACAGTATGTCTGTATTCAAGTGTTTTGGTAGGTATTTCAAGCTTTCCTGCTCCAGCATTGGAATGCGGGGCATGGAGGTTTTTTTTTTATTATTTTGAAAATCAACAGTTTGCATTATGCAATTAAAAATCCTAACCAATAAAGTAGGGAATAGCTATCCAACTGTTGTTTTAGTTGTATTTTACTTCATATTATAGTTATATCAATGTAAATCATTGTTTTCCCTTGTGTTTCTCATTCTTTCCCTGCCATGTCGTAAAATGTGGTGAACCCATCGCTGTATTTGCTCCAAAGCAAATATTGGCCTTTCTAGTTGACCCTTATTTTTGTTGTAACCGCTGTGTTTATATGGTTGGAAAAATACCACTTTTAAAGACAGTATATGCAAAGCTATTGTCTGCTAAAATAGGGAGAATGTATATCATAATAAAAGAGACTGTAGCGTTGACAACCATATGCACATGATAAACTGTTACTAACAACATCTAACAAGCTCAAGAAAGATTATTCCAATTGCACTGCTGAGGAACAGGCAGCTACTGATAATCACATTAAAGCCAGCACTGGGTAAAGCTAATGTAAAAGCACATTGACTGTACACTCTACTATCAGAAAAGATGCATGCATTTAATTAATATCACAATAAGAGTTTGTTGCCGGAATACTCCTGGGCACAGAGGTAAACAGTAATTGTAATGTTGTAACAAATTTTAATATGTTCTGATTTAGGTACATGCGATGGCGGTTATCAACGGAATAACAGGAAGTGCTTCAAAGCATTCAGCATTCAGAAAAAATGGGTCGATGCATCTACCTACTGCAAACGCCAAGGAGCAGGAGGAAATCTAGCAATGCCAAAGGACAAAAGCACTAACAATTTCCTGATTAAGTTAAAAAATGCTAAAAGCACCTCTAGGGGTTTTTGGTTTGGACTGAATGACAGGAAGAAAAATGGCAAATGGAAATGGCCTGATGGCAAGTCTCTTGGGTCTTTTAAATACTGGTCACGAAAAGAGCCAAATAACGGGGGGAAAAATTGGTTGGGTCAGTACAAAAATCCTGAAGATTGTGCAGAGTATTTCCGTACAAACTGGAAAAACAGCAAGTGGAACGATGTCAAATGTAAAAAGAAAAGATACTTCATCTGTGAGCGGACCCCAAACGGTGAGTGTACAAATATAACAACTTCCTTTGTATCAGATATTAAGGCAATTAGAATCACTTCATGATGAATTTGCAGTTCAAATGTAATAAATTGCTACTGTAACAGTAAGCATACCCAAGGAATCAAATCAAAAGAACTTTAAAAATTTTGCTAAACAAATCGCTATAATTGAACTATGTAAAAGATTCTTGTTCCTTCTTGAGCTGAGAGCTGTAAAGCTGGGATCTAATTATAAATATGAAAGAAAATGGAAATAATCACAGAAATGCATATTCGTTTTTAGAATGTGTTTTTTTTTTTCATTTGTGTTATACTGCATTTCCACTAATAGCCACTATTTTATTTTGACAGGATTGTACTGACCGGACCAGTTCCTGACAATATGGTTTATCGCCCAGAGGAAACAGTGCTCTGACTTTTGCTTGCAACTTTACTGGTATCTATTAATTTTTGTTATGTACAAACTTACTCACTTACTGTATCAATTCCCATGTACTTTCAAAAAAGCTGTACGACAACTGCAAAATTAATCATTTCAATTCTGAGTTGTTCTTTGTGCCTTTATAATGATGAATAGGCCGATTTTTACAAAGACACCATCCTTCATGCCTTGCCTTTACATCTTTAATACAGACAAAGAAAGGGTTAAATTACTTTTCCCCAACCATTTTCGTGCGATTCCAAAATTTTCCTAAATACATCAAAATTTTTGTTTGTTGTAGGAAATAGGGATAGAACAAACTAACTCAGACTATCTAAGTACCACTTCATTTTCCTTTTTTTACATTCTGGTACCAGATTTGAGATTCTATCAGATGTCATCCATAAAAATGCAGTTCGTATGGTTTAATGGAGCAATATCATTGCATAATCTTTACAATTAACATCTATAAACATGTGCAGAGTCATTATCACCTAGAGGCTTGTCTGCTGCTCTGGTATTCATATACCATTTACAGAGCGAACTGCATTTTAGCCATGAGGTGACATGTGGATGTATTTTTATGATGAAAATATACATTTTTTCCGTTTTGAGATCCTTGAGAGTGTGTTCAGGAAACTCTCCAGTCTTTGTACTTAAGAACTCTTACAAAGGCTGATCAGACTGAAGTCATGGCGTTACATATACACGTCAGAAAACCTTTATGAGCTCTTTAACACTTTTTCTTTTTGATTTAACATTTCCGTAATCACGGTATGTTAAATGTATTTGCACATTCTAGTCCTGTATAGGTAACTCCTGATTTCAGTCACTGTTATACTGGTAGTTTTTACCCCTGTATTAATCTGGCTTTAGATACAGGCACACAATGTCCTTCTGATGGCAGAATCATACCAACTATACTTGGTGACAAATTGGCCACATTTAGATCGTGGATTTTCTTCTGAATACTTGGAAGTCTTCAATTGGTGATCCTGTCATAGAGGTAGACGCTGTGCCATTAAAGTTTTATTGCTTTTTATTATCAACTATTTAGATACAGGCACACAATGTCCTTCTGATGACAGAATCATACCGAGTTTACTTGGTGACAAATTGGCAACACTCTGACTTTTCTAGCATGTTTGAAAAATGTATTAAGAAATGGTGATTCTGTCATAGAGGTAGACGCTGTGCCATTATAGAATACTTATTGTGTACTTTTTTATAATCACCTGTTTAGATACAGGTACACAATGTCCTTCTGATGGCAGAATCATACCAAGTTTACTTGGTGATAAATTGGCAACACTCTGAGTTTTTTAGCATGTTTGAAAAAGGTTTTAAGAAATGGTGATTCTTTCATAGAGGTAGACGCTGTGCCGTTATAGAATACTTGTGGGTTTTTTTTTGCTTTTTTATTATCACCTGTTTAGATACAGGCACACAATGTCCTTCTGATGGCAGAATCATACCAAGTTTACTTGGTGAAAAATTGGCAACACTCTCAGTTTTTTAGCATGTTTGAAAAAGGTTTTAAGAAATGGTGATTCTGTCATAGAGGTAGACGCTGTGCCATTATAGACTATGCACAGTTTTATTGCTGTTAAATTTTTATTATCACATGTTTAGATACAGGCACACAATGTCCTTCTGATGGCAGAATCATACCAAGTTTACTTGGTGATAAATTGGCAACAATCTGACTTTTCTAGCATGTTTAAAAATGTATTAAGAAATGGTGATTCTGTCATAGAGGTAGATGCTGTGCCATTATAGAATACTTATGTATTTTTTTTTTGCTTTCGTATAATCACTTGTTAAGATACAGGCACACAATGTCCTTCTGATGGCAGAATCATACCAAGTTTACTTGGTGATAAATCGGCAACACCCTGAGTTTTCTAGCATGTTTGGAAAAAAGGTTTAAAGAAATGGTGATTCTGTCATAGAGGTAGACGCTGTGCCATTATAGAATACTTATTGTGTACTTTTTTATAATCACCTGTTTAGATACAGGTACACAATGTCCTTCTGATGGCAGAATCATACCAAGTTTACTTGGTGATAAATTGGCAACACTCTGAGTTTTTTAGCATGTTTGAAAAAGGTTTTAAGAAATGGTGATTCTTTCATAGAGGTAGACGCTGTGCCATTATAGAATACTTGTGGGTTTTTTTTTGCTTTTTTATTATCACCTGTTTAGATACAGGCACACAATGTCCTTCTGATGGCAGAATCATACCAAGTTTACTTGGTGAAAAATTGGCAACACTCTCAGTTTTTTAGCATGTTTGAAAAAGGTTTTAAGAAATGGTGATTCTGTCATAGAGGTAGACGCTGTGCCATTATAGAATACTTGTTGTGTACTTTTTTATAATCACCTGTTTAGATACAGGTACACAATGTCCTTCTGATGGCAGAATCATACCAAGTTTACTTGGTGATAAATTGGCAACACTCTGAGTTTTTTAGCATGTTTGAAAAAGGTTTTAAGAAATGGTGATTCTGTCATAGAGGTAGACGCTGTGCCATTATAGAATACTTATTGTGTACTTTTTTATAATCACCTGTTTAGATACAGGTACACAATGTCCTTCTGATGGCAGAATCATACCAAGTTTACTTGGTGATAAATTGGCAACACTCTGAGTTTTTTAGCATGTTTGAAAAAGGTTTTAAGAAATGGTGATTCTGTCATAGAGGTAGACGCTGTGCCATTATAGAATACTTATTGTGTACTTTTTTATAATCACCTGTTTAGATACAGGTACACAATGTCCTTCTGATGGCAGAATCATACCAAGTTTACTTGGTGATAAATTGGCAACACTCTGAGTTTTTTAGCATGTTTGAAAAAGGTTTTAAGAAATGGTGATTCTTTCATAGAGGTAGACGCTGTGCCGTTATAGAATACTTGTGGGTTTTTTTTTGCTTTTTTATTATCACCTGTTTAGATACAGGCACACAATGTCCTTCTGATGGCAGAATCATACCAAGTTTACTTGGTGAAAAATTGGCAACACTCTCAGTTTTTTAGCATGTTTGAAAAAGGTTTTAAGAAATGGTGATTCTGTCATAGAGGTAGACGCTGTGCCATTATAGACTATGCACAGTTTTATTGCTGTTAAATTTTTATTATCACATGTTTAGATACAGGCACACAATGTCCTTCTGATGGCAGAATCATACCAAGTTTACTTGGTGATAAATTGGCAACAATCTGACTGTTCTAGCATGTTTAAAAATGTATTAAGAAATGGTGATTCTGTCATAGAGGTAGATGCTGTGCCATTATAGAATACTTATGTATTTTTTTTTTGCTTTCGTATAATCACTTGTTAAGATACAGGCACACAATGTCCTTCTGATGGCAGAATCATACCAAGTTTACTTGGTGATAAATCGGCAACACCCTGAGTTTTCTAGCATGTTTGGAAAAAAGGTTTAAAGAAATGGTGATTCTGTCATAGAGGTAGACGCTGTGCCATTATAGAATACTTATTGTGTACTTTTTTATAATCACCTGTTTAGATACAGGTACACAATGTCCTTCTGATGGCAGAATCATACCAAGTTTACTTGGTGATAAATTGGCAACACTCTGAGTTTTTTAGCATGTTTGAAAAAGGTTTTAAGAAATGGTGATTCTTTCATAGAGGTAGACGCTGTGCCATTATAGAATACTTGTGGGTTTTTTTTTGCTTTTTTATTATCACCTGTTTAGATACAGGCACACAATGTCCTTCTGATGGCAGAATCATACCAAGTTTACTTGGTGAAAAATTGGCAACACTCTCAGTTTTTTAGCATGTTTGAAAAAGGTTTTAAGAAATGGTGATTCTGTCATAGAGGTAGACGCTGTGCCATTATAGAATACTTGTGGTGTACTTTTTTATAATCACCTGTTTAGATACAGGTACACAATGTCCTTCTGATGGCAGAATCATACCAAGTTTACTTGGTGATAAATTGGCAACACTCTGAGTTTTTTAGCATGTTTGAAAAAGGTTTTAAGAAATGGTGATTCTTTCATAGAGGTAGACGCTGTGCCGTTATAGAATACTTGTGGGTTTTTTTTTGCTTTTTTATTATCACCTGTTTAGATACAGGCACACAATGTCCTTCTGATGGCAGAATCATACCAAGTTTACTTGGTGAAAAATTGGCAACACTCTCAGTTTTTTAGCATGTTTGAAAAAGGTTTTAAGAAATGGTGATTCTGTCATAGAGGTAGACGCTGTGCCATTATAGACTATGCACAGTTTTATTGCTGTTAAATTTTTATTATCACATGTTTAGATACAGGCACACAATGTCCTTCTGATGGCAGAATCATACCAAGTTTACTTGGTGATAAATTGGCAACAATCTGACTGTTCTAGCATGTTTAAAAATGTATTAAGAAATGGTGATTCTGTCATAGAGGTAGATGCTGTGCCATTATAGAATACTTATGTATTTTTTTTTTGCTTTCGTATAATCACTTGTTAAGATACAGGCACACAATGTCCTTCTGATGGCAGAATCATACCAAGTTTACTTGGTGATAAATCGGCAACACCCTGAGTTTTCTAGCATGTTTGAAAAAAAGGTTTAAAGAAATGGTGATTCTGTCATAGAGGTAGACGCTGTGCCATTAGAATATGTTATGTAAGTTTTAAAGTGTGTATGTTAGGGGCTGCCCAGTCAAGTCGTTGGATACTGCAAGGAACACATAAGGCTTCCCTTATAGAATGTGACCGATTGTACATGTACCAGCTGAAATAAAGCTATAAAAAGAGAAAGCATTACTAAAAATCAACAACACCTTTGGAAGTAAGACATTCAGTCAGTTTATCAATTTAAAGCAGTTAAAAACCAGTTGGCTGAGCAACAGTGATGACGTCGAACCAGTAATACCATGATGTCCCTCTTATATAATCTACAAGCAGATGTGAGACTCCGACTTGTTTTGAATGTCTTTTTGGCATTTTGTACATCTTTTTTTGTGGTGCACATTTTTCTCTGTTCCTCTCCTTGATTATTTGGTGAAGGCGAACAGACAAAACGCACACTTCTAGAAAAGCATACAACTACAAACATGTAAGGCGTGTAAAAACAAGAAGGGCCTTTTGTCTACGTAAAGATTGTCTTTTAAAATCCTCATCAGAAAGGTGATAAAACATGTATCTGTAATGGATAGGTCAACACAGAGTAGAATGAAGTTGGATGTTCATATCGTTTGTGAGGAACACTTTTATCATGTGAGCAGAAGAATCGGAACAGTGATAGATGCGAACTAGAAAATGTCTTACCTTGTGGCCCTAAGATCAATGCCAATA